CTATTAGATTTTATATCTTGGTTTGGGTTTTGAAATACTCTTTTTTGTAGCACTTATCTTAATTTTTAGTTTCATGTAAATTTTGACTCAATGAGACCTATAAAATATATATATAGCTTGATAAAAAAGTTTAATAAGTGAATCGTATATATCATATGATCTTTTTATGATTAGATAAAATATATTAACGTTAAACAAGTAATACAATAATAAAAAATTGCACCTAGAAAATGTGTACCAGGTTGGGATCGGATGATCGACCGGAAAGATAGGTCGGAATTATAAGAACATTCGGAATTGGAAACCAAAATTACGTATTTGCATTGTCATGCTAAACATTACATAACGATAAAAGTTAATAATCGATATTGTTATCATCAAGAAATTTTGAAGCCTGATTATGATCGGTTGCAAACAATTAATTAATTGATTATATAATCGGTTGGCTTCAAGAGATTATAATCAACGGTGGTGTTGATAATCGATTCATATCAAAATTGATAATAACGATAATCGATATAAATCTATATACAGTCGATACTGTCTAATTGCATATACTCTCTAAGTGCATAAAAATTTTTGGCTTTTAATTATTAACACCAAAATAGTTCTTATAACTTAATGCATATACTGTCTATATGCATAAAAAAGTCTTTGATGCAATTAGACAGTATCGACTGTATAAATGATAGCTTTCTATATATATCTCTTATAATCGATGAGAATTGTTTAAAATCCTTAGATTTTAATTGATGATAATCTAATTTTAAAATTTCCTGATGATTAGCGTTAGCTTAGAATAATATTTTCGTGTCTTTTCTTCCTGAAAAAAAAAAAATAGAAATGCAAAACTGGTTATAGACACGTTTTTAATATTGTGAACAAGCTGTTATTCCGTTAATTACAAAAAACCATCAAACTAAAACCTAAATAAACTTTGAATATATCGAACCACCTATACCCCTTCGGCAAATATTTTCGTTAGCTTATTAGTATCAAGTTGAAAATTACAATGACTGAAAATAAGCAATGTTCAACCGTTTAAAGAAGATATTGAAATTGGTTTGTATTTTATTCATAATAATTCAAAATATAGTTATAATTAATAATGCCTGTTGAAAAGTTTTTTAAACATATTATTGGCGATATTAACTAACCTCTTAACGGCATGGAATATTTCGAAAAAGGGTATGAAAAATTTAAATGTTTAACTATGGGCAAATTAGTGCCTTATCTATTTCAACAAAATGACTCATCACAGTCGATGTAGGTCAAAAATTAGAGTTCAGCCGCATCAATTTAAAAAAAATTCGTGTACAAAACGAAAATATTAATTAAGATGAAGTATAATACATAAAAGATTAATCATGAAAAAGTACAGTCAACTCGATATAGACAATTACTAGTCTATTTTATTAAAAAACACATGGCACTTTTTATACTGAAATATATAGTATGAAATTCCAAAATTTTGAGTTCATTCGACAGTACATAACCCATTAAAGAACGAATGTCACAAAAAAACAACCTAAATGGTTAAACAGAAATATTGCTTTATATTATCGTTATTTAATTGAAAAATAAAGTCTTATCGTTAGAAAAAATAATCGAAGACGTAATTTCCGGACCATAATCCGGACTATCATCCGAACGATCATCCGACACATATTTGCTGAGTGCTAAAAAATTGAAGAGGATTTTTTTTTTTACGTCTTCAAAGTATACTATATATATTACAAGGGTAAACAGTCTAAATGGTAAAACTTTCGCACCGATCTGGACATCAATACAGGGGCAACCGTGACAGGTCTGGACTGTAAAGTCCTCCACTCCGCTCCGGACAATAAGCAAAACTGCCTTCCCGACATTTTTACTTAACCCACCCGAGGTAGGTTTAGACTGTCGTTTTTTGTATTTTTTAGGTTTTTCGTTTTTGTTTCTTCGATATCGGTTAATAGCGATCGGACATTGATACCAACCAATCAAATGCTCTAAAATCATTTATGGTTTGTCACAAAAAAACATACGGAAAGTAAAGTTATCGGTTTAGTTTTTTGAAAAGTGTTTTAAACCACATGATTGTCGGTTATAAGTTTCCGGCACCATAGTTCGTATATTTGATCTTGTAGTTAGTTGGCCAAGAAACAACAAACATTGTTTTCTTTATCTAAATTGCTACAAGTTTTGAGCGAAAGTACTTGATAATATCCTATTTATTTTTATTATTCAAAGTTATTTTCAGATTCTATAGACTAGTAGAATTCGAAAATGGTCTTAATAATTAAGATTTACCCAGGATATAATTAAGAAATTCGAAATTTGAAAAAACAGACGATATTAGAACTTTTATATATAAGCTTATATCACACTGATATAATTTCTAGCCAATCGCAGGGTAGTACTTTAATAGATTCTTGATTGTGTAGCGTGTAATGTATCGGTATAAGCGTAAAATTTGTAATTTGAGAAACACGTTATAGTTATTGTATGGGTCGTAAAAATAACTAAATTTGCACGGGTTAACATTACATGACCGAAGGCCATGTAACCCGTACAAATTTAGTTAATTTATAACCCGTATAATAATATATAAATATTAACCGATTTTCAATTACAACCTTTAGCTGACCATGATTCAGATCCGGAATTTGGGATTATCCTGTATGAGTCTTTAAGGTATACTTATATGATAAGCTCCGGAGTTAATGTGCTATTAGTAATAATCCGAATTCGAATTGACTTAGAATATATGATATAGCAAGAATTTAGAATGTTGACCAGTATAATTCTTTTTTATAAAAACGCGAATTGGCGTACTTTATTGACAGAAATTCTTTTTTTTAAATACTACTAGTCTATACTATTATATTATAAAGTAAATAATAAGATCAGATTGATACACAATGAATGTTAACACTAATCTAATTTCTAAAATAATGATTATATTACTTTTGGGGGTGGTATAACAAATTTAATGCACAAATTTCCGAGCTATAAATATAACCTTCCGGGTATTTAGTACCGCCTAATAACAGGAATATATAATTAATAAAGTAACAATTATCTATAATAAATATAATAATTATTAATTTAACTTACATAGTGAATTTGATGGAGCGGCACCGCCTTTAGTATTGACACGAACGACATAGGTAATATCTTCAAGCGCCCCTTTTCCTTTGTTATCCTGTTTATAAATGATAATCATGAATAAATGTAATTTGCAAAATAGAACTACTTGATAGAACTGTATTAATTACGTGTGTTTTTTCAAGTCCCCAGGGAAAATCTTTATCTGGGTTGGATGACGGGACGGTAGCAACGGAGGTTGAAATCATTGACGAAGTATCGCATTCTGGAATAATAGACCTAACGCCAACTGAGCCTAAATAAGGCAATAAAGTTATTCATTTAACATCATATTAATGTATATTTAGAATTGCTAAAATGCCTGATTAAAATTATTTCTGATTATGGATGACGCATTGTACAGATTCTTATGCGCTTGACCAGCACAGAAATGTGATACCAAATCATCGCATGAAAACAAGCATATATATTAATGAATTCACATGATAAAAGCACTAAGTTATAATATGATGATTTAGTTTCACACTTCACGAACTGAACTATAAGTCCCTAATTCAAGTATTACAAATTTAACCAGAATTACAATTAACTCTGACCAAAATTGTATTGCTTTATCGATAACATTAATAATTAGGTTATGTTATTACATGCCTGGAGCAGTAACAGCGTATGTTGAAGCCACGGCTGAAGAGGGGTAGGAGGATATATCTTCTTCATGATTGAAAAATAATACACGACCTTCCTCTAATAATTAAGTAATGTAAGCACTACAAATTGCGATGTGACAAATATACGTATGTCCGTACTTACCAACTACCCATTGATTATTGGTACATTGATACCAGATATATCCACTAACGTATAAATGAAATTTAAAACAATTGCCCTCTGGAACAGTGATATTTTCCGGAATTTTGATATCTTTTGGATACTCTATTTATTTGTTCAAAATTGCAAATTGTATTATGTGTGTTCTGAGTGATATCGTTATAGTTATGTATACGTTAAATAAGATTTACCATAATTTCCGATTGATTGTTGAGCCTTAAATGGAACAGCAAATGAGTTGCTTGTGCAAAACAGAAGAATGGCAAAGAGCGAGAGAACATATAGTTTAACCATATTGATAGACTTCTTTTATTAACTAATTAGAAGTTACAAGATTTGGGAAACTTTTCAGTCATTTTATATTTTTTTGGGGAATAATATTCTCCTAATTCAAAAGACAACAGCATGAATTCATTGTTGTATTGCAAAGTTTATTGCAGTCAATATTTTAATGAGTTCAACACGTCTCCTTTGTATTGCGACATTTATTGCAGTCAATATTTTAATGAGTTCAACACGTCTCCTTTGTATTGCGACATTTATTACAGTCAATATTTGTTGTGTCCAACGTGTCTCCTTGTTTTATTCATTGAAATATCGTACTACTGTATTTTTCGGTAAGATCTCAAATCTACGATAAGCAAAATTTTGCCATCATATTTATTCAAAAATGTGCGCTTAGAATGGGTATACTTTTAGATAGTTGACGGTACTATTGACAAAGTGATTACAGACTTGTATAAAAACCATGTTATGAGTGCTTAAGTATGTTCATTTCGTTAACCTATAGACACATTACTAATCTTTTGATATTTTTCTTTTACAGTATATCAACGTATAGATAGTATCAGGGATTGTTGCGCAGTTGCAAAATATATTCGACTTTTGAACACAAATTCTTAACAAACCACTACGCATTTTGGTAAGAAAAAAAATTAACCTCCCAAATGCCCTTTACTCCTTGTTCGCCAAATATTTGCATTTCTTTCTGTACATAGAATTCTCGGTATAGACCCCTAAATGCACCCCTAATATGTAAATGCACAATAATTAATTGACTGGCCCATGTTATATCTTATAGCACGGCACATATACAGTCAGATCTCCTAAATGCACTCCCCCAAATGCAGCACCCCCCTAAATGCACAATAATTGATTGATGTTGGGTCTTACCGTTATAGATGAATGCACGTCTAAATGCATGCTATTCTTTTGACCATACAGTCAGACCCCCTAAATGGGATAGATTAGTGAAGCAACCAAAATTCAGCAGCAGATCGATCAAATTGAGGGTCTGAATAGGCCGGAATTGATAAATTTCATCCAAAATCACCCAAAATTTTACTAATAAAATGGTACAGTAGCCCACGTACTAGATAAAGCTACCCAGCTGATAATTTTGCTGTAGTGTTCCGCAAAATGGATCCGAAGTTCGGATTCGATTCGGATCCGTTCACCGGATCGGATCCGGATCCATAATTTTCAGATTCGTCAGGCACGGATCCACATTGGGATCCGTTCGGGTAACTATAAACTTTAATGTTACGAAACATTCCGAACATAAAAGTAAGGCTATCCGAAAGAATCCGAAATTGAAACGGATCCGGATCCAATCTTGGATCCGATTCGGTTTTTCGGATCGAATCCGAATCCTTAGAAATAATCCGGTCCGTGCGGTACACTATTTTGCTGTAGTATAATTGGCTAGTATTATTGCTTAATGCCGGCCTGGCTCCGGGCCTATTTTGATCCTAAATTTTGGTCGACCTGCTGAATTTTGGTTGCTTCACTAATCTATTCCCCTAAATGCATCCCTCTAAATGGAGCATCCCCTATAATGCACAATAAATTGATTGGTCCATGATTGGAACCGTCCAGAAGATTGTCACCCGGGTTACTCGCGGTTGAGACATATATCAACCGGTGGGTAACCACGGTCGACCGCAGGTGACCGGTGGGTAACCACAGTCGACCGCAGGTGACCGGTGGGTAACCACGGTCGACCGCAGGTGACCGGTGGGTAATCCACGGTTAACGCGAGTGTTAAACTTATAGACCTCTGTAAATTAACGAATCTAAAAAATAAAAATAAAAATAAAATAAAATAAGCATGTATATTTATTATTACAGTTTGCAAAATTCTATATTCCCCTTAAAAATTATCAAAAGAAAAAAATCGCTTGATTGTTTTAGGGACTACTAATGATTTCCAATTTTTTAGAATTACTTCAATATGAATGATTTCATATTGCAATGTTCTTCTATAAACTCATGGGTTGCCCGTGGTTGACCCACCTGTATCCACCCAGCTTATTAAAATCTAAAACAGGTTATCCGTCTAACCGTAGTTGACCGGTTGATACACAGCTGGCTTCAATCACTAGACCCATATTGGATTTTATAAATAAATGTATATTCTTTATTTTTTAAATGCATGCTATTTTTTTTTAGCTTATATATATTAAATTCAGTGTTAGAATTTTATCATTTAACCAATTTGATTGATTTTTAGCCATTACTACAGGTGATTCTTGTTAATATCAACTTATTTGAATTAGTTTTAAATTATATTAATAGTTGATATTAATGAGAATTTGTATTAAAGTTGATATTATAATATTTTGTTTAAATATAATTCTTTTCTGTATATTAATCTTGTTAGTTGAATTTTAATAAAGTTAGAGGCATAGTTTTATTATAAAATTAGAAAAAATAAAAATAAACATTTGACTTGTGGTTTAAATTGATATTAATAAGATTAATTAGTTTATAAAAATTTGGTTTGTGGTTTATATTAATATTAATAAGGTTAATTAATAGGGATTTATTTTGTAATGCTATAGCACTATAGTGCTGGTGTATTGTGATCAATTAAAGTTTAAGATCAGATGTAATATGCAGATTATTTCTTTGTATAATAAAACAATAAATTTTTAAAAAATTAATTATATTTTAAAATTTTATTTAAAAAACCATCTTTTGTGTTCTAATAAAAAATTCTTTACAAAATTTTAGTATAACCTATATTCAGTTTAACCTTAATCTCAGCTTTAATTTAAAAGTTTTATTTTTTGTAAAGATTAGATTGATTTGATTTATATATTATATCAAGAATATTCTATAGAATAGATAAGCAAAATAAGAAATAAGCTTTGCTAATAATTAATAATCATTAATTTTTAATAGTGGAGTTGCAGAGTTTGCAGAGTTTGCCCACCTATTCTATAGAACATCCTATATCAATTTTGTATTTATATATAGAGTAACACTACATTACTATAGCACTATAATAATGTTTTCTAATTAATATATAAAAATTTATAATTTTTTTTTCAAAACTCTCTCTATACCAAACTTACAACCAACAAAAACAGAAACTTGTTGAAAAAAAGTAAAAAAGATAATTATATAAATAACAGTTTTTACAAAGATCAAAGTTTTTTCAGTTATTACCAAACTCTTTTGTATATTTAGCAAACAAAAAAGTGGTATCTTTATACAGAAAATTTAATAAAAGCATCATTTTTGTTGATGAAGTAAAAGCATAGTTGGTTTAAAGGAAGACAACAAGCAAGTTTTCAACATACTCTTTATCAAAGTTCAAAGCTATCTACAAATCAAAACCTTTTTTAACACTCCATTCACAGCTTTTTATAAAATTTTACCAAAAAGTAAAAAATCTAATATATCTCTATCAACAACAATTATTATCAAAAAAAAATATATAATAGATATTTAATGGGTTGCTGTGAATATCATGCAAAATCACAGGTAATCATTTATTATGTGTCATTGTGGCACAGCCACAATGACATATAATAAATGATTACCTGTAATTTGTATAATATTTATAACAACCCATTAAATATCTGTTTTATCCCCTGAATCCTAACACCCTGTGATTATTTTACTGATCTTTTCACTTCTTCAAGTCTTTTGCTCAAAAAAAATACCAAACCAAAGGCAAAAAAAAAATTTAAAACACACTGGTTCCTGTTTTTACTAGTGTATGCACTTATATCCAGAAAATATTTCTGCTGATAGTGCTACTACAAGCATACCAAAATCTGATTTGGAGCAAAAACTAGATTTTTATCAAAAAAAAGCTGCAGTATCAAATATAGTAAAAGCTACACAAAACTGAATGAAGAAGTTTAATGAATTTTGTCAACATTATAATTATGTAATACCAATTAAAAGTATTGAAGATCCTTCTTTAATTAGACAACAATTATGTGAGTTTATTGCACAAATAACAAAAAAAGATGGAGGTGAATACAAAGTTAAGACTATTAAACAAACTATCGATGGAATAAATAGATATATTAGCAAAAATAAAGCAATTCATGGTCTTAATTTATATGATAAATATCAATTTCCAGATTTGTATGTTATTTTGAATGGCAAAATAAAAGATTTGCAAGAAAAAGGATTAGAAGAAAAAGAAGGATCAGTTGCTTTAACAGCTTAACAAGTTAGAGTAATTCTTAATGATGAATTTTTAGATCCTAATACACCACAGGGTCTATTGTATAGAGTCTTTTTTTGTATTGCAACAATTTTTGCATGTAGAGGTGGAGAACATTATTTACTTCAAATTAATCAATTCCAAGTTCAGCCTAATAAAAGTATTCTATTTTATCGTTATTGTAGCAAAAACAATCAACGAGGAATTGAAGGAGGAAATGTACAATGTATTTAATTATTAGCTAATCAATTTGATACTTTGGGACCTGTTAATGATCTTACTAAATATATTTCTAAACGTCCATCAAACACATCTAATAATTTTTATTTGCAGCCAAATCAAAATTGGCGTGAAACTGGTATTTGGTATCTTAAAACACACTGTGGTTTAAATAGAGTAGGAAATTTTTATGAAAGATATCGGGCAAAAAGTAAAAGTAAAACTTCCAGATGGTGCTTTAACAAACCATTCTGGAAGAAAAACTGTAGCCCAGATACTTCAGGATGCTAATGTACTGGAAGATTCTATTATGAATATTACAGAGCATAAAAGTTCTCAAGGTGTACGTGTATATAAAACTATAAATGAAAGTCAAAAACTCGATACAATGAAAACTTTAATTAATACCATTGAACCAGCATCAAATATAAGCCCGATGAATTAAGAATCTCCTTCGGTACTTAATGAAATTACTGGATCTTATGTTAATATCAATACATCTACTACACAAGATATTAATATAGTTCAAGGTATTTAAGGTGGTAAATTTCAAACACAACATTCTATTTTTAATAACTGTCAATTTACCAATGTTATATTTTATTTGTTACAATAATTTTTTTTACAAGAAATTTCTTTGCGTAGTAATTTAAAACTAGCTATAGAAATCTATAAATGATTAAAACTAATAATTCTCTATGTTTTATTGGTAATTAAATAAATATTTGCACTATCACTACAATTTAAACTGTTTTAATTATTTAATTTATTAATTCGTTTAATATAAATTACAATATTAAATGTTTATTACATAATATGTCCTTCACACAATACAATGTTTAATGTAAAAATTCAAGACAATCGTAACTATAAAAAATAAGGCACTTACCTGATTCAAGAGATGTTAGGCCGTAGAATAATTTTTGATATTTTTATAGGTGATTAGCCGTGTGAAAATATCAGTGCGGAGTATCACAGGTGACCATTAGGAGACATGGGATAAATATATATATACACTTTGGGATAAATAGTATAAGATTATATATAGACTTAGCTATAGCTATAAAATATTGCATCAGCCTATGATCAAAGAATTCAAGCTTCTAGTAAGTTAGAAGTTAAAGAAAGGTTTAAGTTTACTGAAGTAGGTCATAAATGAATTATTTGTTTGATCAGATTAGTATAGCTAATATAAAAAATAATAATATTTTTTAGTATAGTTTAATCTTAAATAAACAATAGCAGGACTGTTAAATTATATACAAAAAAAGAATTTTATTTATAATAATAAAGTATATTATTTTATATTTAAAGTAATTGTATTTTAAAAAAAAGTTATTTTAAGTAGATTTTCTAAATCTACTTCTATAGTAAGTCTTATCAAACTGATTTAAAACTAATCTACAACTACATTAGCAAAATTTAAAACTATAATATTATATAAGATTTATAAATAATATATAATATTAAATTTTAAAAAATATAAATAGGTGCAAATTTTATTAAAAAAATTCAT